TAAATTTTTATATAAAAATTGAAGATAAATTAATTTAAATTTATATTGTATTTATATTTTTTAAAATTAAAGTATAATAATTAATATATCATTATTGATGTATAATTAATATTATATCAAATTATATTATATTATAATTAAGGGATAAGAAATTAAATTATAATAATGAAAATATAATAATTAAAAATTCCATGTGGGCATGGATCAACAAGAAAATCATAATTTACAAAAATTTTCAAACCATCAAAGTAGTTCAGTAAACTCCAAGTAGGCGTGCTCTACTCAATGACTACTCAATGAAAATGAAAATAATTCCATTTCAAACCAATCATACTTGGTGCTAATAAAATCAATTTAAACGTTACAACCATCTTAAAAACAATTTAAAATATGCTTTAAAATTTAAAGGTGTTACCGTAATTTACTTACCTCAAATCACGTAATACCGAAAACTCAAGCCAAGTGCTCGGGTAACAGAACACTCAAGAACCTAATCAAAATACCCCAGAATTAATACCATACTACCACAAATTCAAAGTGAAAACATCATTAGGTCACCCACTAATCAAGATGCTATTTATATTAACCTCCACACGACCGGACACCTCTAATTTCATTCTTATTTTAAAAACTAATTATTTAATCCTATTCCATGATTGCCGACCATTAATCCCAATAAGCAAATTTTATTTCTTTATTTATCCATTAATTAATTAATTTATTTTTATTCTTCTTCTATCCGAAATTTGAGCACACAACATCAAATTGTATATTTATAAATATGTATATACATAATTACACATATACAACATTTCTCAAATTCATGGACAGAACATGGAGGAACCGGCTTTGGCAAAAATTGGCTGAGTCACGGGATTTTTCCATATAAACCTCACAGCAACTAAATCAAGAGATTTCTACATGAATTAAACTAAAAACACAACTTAAAGTGCTACCAATTTCTTCTATATTTCGGCAGAAATTGAACAGTACAGGGGCAGTAATTACATGGATAATTTTAGCAACTAAATGGGTAAAAGTTGAATTCAAGAAGTTGCCACATACCCAAAATCTTTCGGCAAGTAGCACCGGGTCCAGCTGGGAAGGAAGCCGACGGGGAAAAAGAAATGGAGCAACTCACGGCAACTACCAAATTCAAGAACCCACAACAAAATTAGAGTAACCCAAGCCAAATTAAGGGAGAAAAGATGAATTCCATGGTTGTTGCTTACCCAGAAACCAAGAAATTCACACCCACACCAAGCTGAAACCGACGATAGGGGAGGAGGAAGGTAGCTAGATCTGGGATTTTTCTTGCTTCAAGAGGCTTCTAGGTCCTAATTCTTGTTCTTGGACAAGAAAGCAAGGGAAAAATTTAAGCTTTTGCCAATTTTCCTCAAGAGAGGGCGGTTGGCAGCTTGGGGGGCTTGTCGGGTTACAGGGGGGGTCGGGAGGAAGAAGATAAGCAGAACACGTGACTGGGTGAGGAAGGAAAAAAGAAGAAAGAAAAAGGAAAATTTTTTTTTTTTGCCGACTTTATCCAAATTTTCTCTTTTAAGTCTCTGAACTTTGAAATTTTCTATTATTAAGGCCAATAATATTATTCTCTCACAATTAAATCCATAACTCACACTTAAATGTCCTAGAAAATTTGGGGATATTACAAAAGATGTAGGAATTGTTCCACAATTATTTAAATAAGATTATTTAAATTAGATAGATAAGGTAGAGAAAAAGAAAAGGAGAAAAAGAAAGGGTTCACTTTAGAGAAAAAATTTAGATAAAGGTATAAAATTTATTATTTTTTATATAAAAATACAAATTTTTAAAGTTTTTGAATCATGCAATAATTGTTTTTTTCAATTTAAGGTAGAAAAAAATGAAAATGAAGATGTTCTCACACTTTAAATGTTTGACACTCTCTATGAAATTGTTAAAATATTCTTAATGAATTTTTATTTTGTGTTGATTTATTAATGGTATTGTAATCTTTTCATTATCAATCCTAACATATTTTAATTACTAGGATATTCTAATTTTCTTCAATCCCTTTAGAGCTTGTTTGGATAGAGAATTGACTTCATTAATATAGTTTTTACTAGAAATTAATAAGGAAAGTTCTATACAAAAAGTTGATAAATCTTAGGAGATGTTTAGTT